TGACTTAGGCTGTGTTGTTATCAACAGCGATTGGAACATATAGTAGGAGACAACCCTCTCTGCAAAGACCTTATACTTTCTTCCTTTTTTATTCTTTTTTGTTTGTAATTTTTTTTTATTCTAAACAAAATTCTCTCTCTATTAATATCGCAGTTCTGTCATTAAAACCATGGCACAATTGAAGCTCTTCAATAAATACTCAAACATAAAGTCACCTAATTCTTTTGTTGTCTAAATTGTTATACCTGTGTTGGAAAATTTGGCCCAAATATTTATCCTCACCTGTTTAATAAATGGTTAAACTTGGATGAGATTAAATTTACGTTATGTATATTGCTACATGTATCTAGCAGGATTAAGACGATATAGACTGATAGTTGTCATATTTGATTTTGTTCTGATAAATAACACGCTTAATTTTCAGGCGATGATTTTTTCCCCTTGAAGCTTCTAGTCTTGATGGGTTTTGGGAACAGCACTTGCTTAATGGTACTGTAATCTAGATTAAAAAAAAAAAAAGCCAAGTCTTTAATTAATTAATTATTCCTAGTATACTGGCACTATGAATGTTTAAATAACTTGGATTTTTTCTGTAGATTACAGTGAATTTATATATGCTTTAAAAGTGCCAGGTAACTAGCACGTACAATTTTTCTGCACTGAAATTATAGCGTCCTAATGCCCAGGTTTAGCTTTGAACTGGTGCTACAAAGAAAAATGTATATTATCTTAGTTATTTCATTTAGGTGTTTCTTTAGTTGGATGAATATTATTAAGCATATTCTCCCTCTAAGGGCAAACGCTCATATATTTGTTATTACTTGCAAAATGCAGATGAAAGTTACTTTAAACTACAATTTTCTATTCAATTTATTAATATTTTTTTTAATTCATCTCAATTCTTAACTTGTTAATAGTTCTGTGCAACGCTGTTGCGTTGGAGTGTAGCAATTCTTTCATTTCTCACGTTAATATGGTTGGTTTATTGACATGTTTAAGAACAAATATGAACATATGAGTTTACAGATCTAGGGGATCTAGTCTGTTTTCCATGGTTACTCTCCTAGATGTTTGAATTACAGTATTTTTCATGTAGTCTGTAGGCATCATCCCAGAAAAAAACACATTCGCATATACAAAGTTTTTGATGTTTTCCACATTTTTTTTCCTAATGTCATCAAAAGTGTTTCTAAGACTGATAAATACAACAGAAATGTGTATCAGCTTGTGTGGAAGACCAAAGTAGAAAGATATACTTGGCAACTGGATTAAAACTCTGAGGTCCACGCTTCAATACTGATCCTTGGTTTTCCTGTAGTATAACTAGAGAAACTTAGTTGTTTCTCATTCAGAAATGTTCCTTGTTTAATTTCAAAAATACATTAGTATGCATTTCTTCCTATTTTAAATGAGGTGTGAAACAGTACCTAGAGTGTGGTAGCATTATCAATTGTAAATGCTTAAGCAAATCTGGTTTATTTTCAATCTGCTATTGCATATCAGCAGCAGTTCATGTCAAATCCAAGTTTTCAATAATGCTCCACGTCATATTTTCCTTTAATCTAGATCAGAGAGCTTGTTTTTATGGGCAGCATTTTTTGTAAGGTTTTGTAATGAAGTGTTACAAATAAATTGTATGAATAACGTACAAGTAGAAGGCAATCTATTGTTAAAAGGAATTCTGAAGTACCTGCTCTTAAAGCCCACCCATTTAGGCAAATGAGTTTTCCTTCTCTTTCATCAGTCTTAAAAGACAGGAATGTTTGACACTCTAGATATTACCTTCAATATGGACACAAGTTATAGTAAGAAGTGAAATATAACAAGAACACAAATATGAAAAAGCCTGCTGTTAATGTCTAGTCATCCATTTATTGTTCATGCCAGTCTGTTTTCCTCTAGAGGAGGAGAAATTTACTGTCCAGTTCTTGTGATCTTTTAGTTATGAATTTTATCAGGCTGTTGAGGTAAGCAAATAATTTTTTGAAGTTTTTGTAGACTTCTGTGTGTAGCTGAAAATTCAGAACTTAGTCCTTTTTTTGCCTTCTGACTTTAATGCTTGGATGAATTGGGTCATTATTGATTCCAAATTGAATGTAGCATGGCATCAATCCAATCGGAAGCAAGAGCAAGTTGTTTGCATTGTGTAGTGGGAGTGTCTTGATTTTCCCATGAATTTAGAAATTTGCTCTCCAGTTTCTGTCCTAATTCATTGCTGTTGAGCAAATATTTGCTTTCCACTGCTCAGAGCAATGCCCAAATCTTACAGAGCAGTTCGTTTGAATTTAGGCTTTATTACATGGACATCTAAAAAACTACTGTATGTATATGAAAATAAATAAATAAGTAAATAGTGTCTTCCGAAAGACTTTAACAGATGTTTTTCAACACTGAATTTAACTTCCCTTTTCCCATATCTATTGGCCTTCTGATTTAATTAGTTAAAATAATTTTTCACTAGGCCAAGTTCTAGAGTTTTGGTAATTTTTTTGACTCGTAACAAAATTTTAGTTCTCTTATTTTTCCTACTTACCTTTCCGGCTCTTAAGATATACTTTATCTAAGGCTTTTTGAACTTCTATATTTGTACTTCAGCTCCTGGCTGAGCTTCTCTTCTTCTTTCCTGACTTCTGAAAGACCAAGAAACAGCAGATAGACTCTCTCTCACCTTATACCATCAAAGTTATTCATCTTCTGCATTGAAAAAAATGAGAAGTATCATTCTTTTATTTCATAGTTCCAAAAAGATGAATGAAACTTTGAGCAGGAGAACATGAACAACCTCCTGCCTGGCATCCCTTGACACCTTCCCCCACCCATCCCTCCCATGGATCTGCAACCCTTTAAAAAAGGTTTTTAAGAAAGGCTGAAGTAAGATAGTGAAATATTGCTCATCTGAGAGAGCTTCATCCTTGAAAGGAATAATTCAGAATATTACAAGTTGATTTCCAAAGCATTATTCTTATGGCATTATCTTTCTTGAGAAACAAACCAGAAGGAACAGGGAACATCCTCAAATTCCTACTTACAGAGCAGGATAACATTTGCAGGCCAGCATGGAAATTCATGCAGGAGTAGATAAAGGGCAAGATATATTTGTTTGTCAAAGGAGTTCCTAAGTACTGCGAAGTTTAGGAGCAGCAAAGCATTTTTTAGAAGAGTCTTGTACTACATGAAAAGATCAGATATGTACCCTAGGTTTTAATCTCTCACAAATCTTTCCACCAGTACCTTTCTCAGTGAAGTTTCACTTGTTAGCTCGCTGGATGAAAAACTGAGAGCTGTCATTTTCTCCCAAAAGATTTGTTAGGCCTCTTGTGTTTTATACCCAGAATTCACCCAAGAGACCATCTGTGAAGTTTCAATCTGACTCTGTTTTCCTTCTTTATACAAAAAAAAAAAAAAAGAAAAAAAGATGTATCACCCAGATTTACTAAATAAGAAAATTGAAGAGAATATTATTTGTTGTTTCTACATGTTTCATATCTAAAGTATTCATTCAATCTTCTGTTGAAAATGGATAGAAGAGAGTCTGTTCATAGATCATTTTGCTGAATAGCTTGATAGGTTGCCTGCCAGTTTTGTAGTGGCTCAAAGGTTTTGTCTCATGAACTTCTGATTGAAAGGCACTGCACTGCAGATAAAATTTGCATCCAAATGTTTTTTTATTAAGTGCGTAGAACTTTGCTTTTTGCCAACAAGATTACACTGAGGTCACTAACAAAGCTCATACAGATGAGATTATAAACAACACAGCTTCTAGTTGAGGTATTTTAGCAAAGTATTTGTCCTTCCTAAGGTAAAACAGTTGCTGCTCAGATACCCTTTGCACTATTCATTCAGATAGATGTTTCAAAAAATTGTTACCTTTAATCATGCAATCACTGATGGACATACAGACATACTCTTCCTGCCCCGACACAGACGCACACAAAATACATTCATGTGCCAATGCATCGTGTGTTATTACATACATTTCTGTATATTGGAAGAGTGAATTAGTTAAAATGCAGTTTTACATCTTGTCTTATGGAAATCTTTTTTTA